GTTTTTTTCCCCCCCCCCCCCCCCCCCCGTGTGGATCGCGCCGTGTGATCGATTTGTTCTGCTCGCGCGTCCAGAGCTTGCATGCCTTCAGGCGAAGCGTCCACGAGAACGGTAACGAGCACATCGCGGGGGAGGTGGAGGCGGAGATGGGCGTGCTGACCAAGGTCATGCAGGCGAAGGACACGTTGGTGACGCACGGGGTGGCCGGATGCCTTCACGTGGGTGGTTTCGTTTTTTTTTTTTTTAGGTTTACGCTTTCTGGCCGTTGCGGCAACAGAGCGGGTGGCGATTGTTTGTGTGCCGTTACACTTTTTGGGTTGCCGTTGCTGGTGCGTTGCTGGTGTTGTGGTTTTGATGTAGTGTTGGGCGCGTCGATTTTGTTGTGTTGGGCATGCTGCTAACGTTGTCGTCTGATTTGTTAGGAGATAATCTGATTTGTTCTTGTTGCTAACCTTCCAGGCGAACACGAACAACGGCACACATGTAACCCCCCTTTCCCCGCCTGGTTCAACCCAGAAAAGTCGCGCGGACAAGAATCAGCAACGGCATGACAGCAACCCTCTCTGTTTCCTCCGTCCTGCCGTACCCTTAGAAACTCGAGAACATGGAGAAGGAAGTGAAGGTCCGAGGGATACGTTCCAACGCGGAGAGGGGGGTGTTCCGTCACGAGGCGTGGCCGGGCCTCATGAAGCTGCTGCGGCAGACGGTGGAGACCACCGCTGGCGCCAGCGTCAAGCACCCCAAGCTGGTGCGGGGTGATTGATGATGCATGGAGGGATGGATGGGATGGGGGTGTGTATTCTCTTGTGTTCGGTTGAAGTGAATTGTTGTTTTCGTGTTGGATGATGATCACATCCCCGCTTTTTTTTTTTTCCCGTGATCCGAAAAATAAGTTCTGGTTGTGGCGGTTTGAGCGGGCGGAACACCGTGTTTCTCCCGTCCGCCCCCTTCTTCTGCCACACGCTGGCAGTTCCTTTTTGTCTTTTTCAAGCCCCCCCCCCCCCCCCTGAAATACACATTAACGAAGGGTTTCCCCCCCCCTTGTTGGGGATCCCCGGGCCGGCGGGAAAAAACTCTGC